CCGCCAGGAGACATCAGGGCGCCAACCCAGAGTATATAGTATAGCTTCATATTATGCTGTATTATGTATTGCTGGGATTTGTAGTCATCTATAGACGGTCTCCTTACTCCCTCCCCTGGCTGCCTCTCCTCACTCTCTCCTCTACAGTATATTCTCCACAAAAATTGCCACGCATGGCGCTAGAGTGTTTAGGTTTCACTTGAAGAAAAGGTGGCAACCCTATAGTGAAGTTATAGGCAAATCTCAAAAGGTCGAGTTTGGTCCTGGCCCTTCCAACATCCTTGCCCTTCCTATTTATCCTTTAACCTGATGACTAATAGGTATCCTAAAGGGGACAGGGCCAAACTTGACTTTTACAGGAAATGTCAACATATGTATAGAACTTGTCTATCTTTCTGGATCTATCTGTAGAAAATAAATCAGAACAACTGGATTTGCTATATTTTTCTTGAAGACGTTCCGCTGGTCATCAAACCAGCTTTCTCAATTTACAATGACTTTGCAAAAATTATCTTAGAAAAAAATATGATGCATGTTGCTCCAATCAACATACTCAGGATCTAGGTATTTTGGGATGAGCTTTTTACTAAAGGCAATCTTTACCCTTTTTGTTTTCCCATCACATGTTCAGTATGGATCGTTCATGTTGGTGATAGATTAACTTTGATTAGTGAAGTAAGTGTTATACATGTCTCAGTGTGGGTGCTCCTATAGAGCAGGAAACTCACTGTATAGGGGAACCTTCATCCTGATGCATGGCGTCCTCATACCTTAGCCAATGTATGTAAGCAGTCACCTCCAATTTAACCAAAATATTCTTAACCCCTTACGACCATTACTCTGCCAAGGCCTTTTTTTCTTTTTTTTGCATACGTCATAATCCACATTTTTGACCTGAAAATTACTTAAAACCCCCAAACATTATATATTTTCTAAAAGCCAAGATCATGTAGAATTAAATGTTGGCAGTTGCAAATTTTTATGTTGCACGATATTAGCGCAACTCTTTATCAAATACAAAAAGTTTGTAAAAATTTAGTTAAAAAAATGCACTTAAGTTACATTTAGTGCCCCAAAACACAATATAATACCCATACCCTAAAATATAAAAGATGAAGTTACGACGAGTAAATAGATACCCAACATGCCCAGGTTACAAATTGTGTGCGTCTGTGAAACAGCGACAAAATTTAGTACCCCAAAAAGTCCATAGACGACACTTTAAGAGCCCCTACAGAGCATCAATTTAGATACGCAAAAATATTGGCCCGAGAATTATTGCTCACACTCGGGTGTGTGTGTGGTGATACCAAACATGTGTAGCGTGATTGACGTTTTTGTACATAGATACGCCTGACGTGTGTTTATGTGAATACTTCATGCTCGCGTGGGACTTTAAACATTTTTAAAAATATTTTGGCATTTATTTTAATATTTTTTGTATTTTTTTTGTCTACTTTTACTTGCTACCACATAGGGAAGCTTACAAGCCCCCATGTGATAGCATATTAGTAGTGACAGGTCGTCTTTAAGGTGATACTGGGGGTCCAAAAGACCCCTAGTGTCACCTTTGCACTTTAAATAAGCGATTGAAGTGCAGATCGCACTTCAATAGCTTATAACTGGGCTTCAGGAGCCCAGAACTGACAGCTATGGGACCGGACGTGATGTAATACGATCCCATAGAACAGGGAGGAGACCGGTGAACGGACGTTCAACGTTTTCTTTCCCAGGTTCCCGCCGACACCCAAAATGTCAGTTCCGGGCCCACAGAGCCCGGGAAACACAGCGTGGGTGCAGGGCAGGGGGAGCCGGCAATTTACCGGCCACTAGAAGCAATCTGACAGCAGCTGAGCCGAAATAATTGCTTCACAATGTAAAGCCGGCAGCTGGCTTTACAATTGTAAACAGAGTCCCGCCGGCTAGTTTGTTTAAACGGGCCCACTGTCAGTGACGTACTATGTGCGTCACTGGTTGCTAAGGCCTGGTTCACACCTAGGCATATTGCATATGCGCGTCTGTCGCGCGTTTGTCACGCATTTTTTTACCGCAGTTCGCGGTAAAAAAAATTGCGCGACAAACGCACGTTTCCGAGGGCTACTTGGCTGTATCCCAATGGAAACGCGCAACAAAAACGGCCCAAAGTAGTACATGTACCTTTTCAGGCGTGGGCCGTTTTGTAGCGCATTAGGGACGGGCTGAAATACGCCGAGGTGTGAACCAGACCCATTGAAAACAATGGGATTTTCATGTTTGAGCGTTTTGTAGAGCGTTCGTCAAGCGTAGAACGCGCTACAAAACGTTCAGGTGTGAACGAGGGCTAAGGGGTTAATGTGTCAATTATTTATACCTCTGTGTTAAGCATATCAGTCCAGGAAGTAGAAGCAGGCCCGGTGCTACTGCAAGGCAAGTAAGGCGGCCGCCTTATGGTGCTGCAGGGTGAGGGCGGAAAAACAGGGCATTTTGACCAGTACTTGTACTGGTCAAAATGCCCCGTTTTTTTTTCAAACCAGATTACCACCCCATGCCTGGTACCCAAGAACAGAAGCCTAGGGGTATGAGTGCAGACTTGGCCATGCCCCCCACCCCAAGAGGGACACCTTCCAGCACAATGTTTCTGGGCAATGAATACCATGCCCTACCTTACCTTACTATGCCCCACTTATGCCAACCATTAAGAAGTCATATGACAAAAATAATTGATTAGGCCCATTTTTTCTCCATTACTTTTCCTTTAAACTGGCTTATCGAAATAGCAAACAAGATAATGAAGATATCAGATGAAGATTTTAGTGCAGAATAAAACTTTTGGTAGTGAGATAGGACCTGTTCATAAATATCTGTCCATTAGATCAAAAAGAGAGACAACTGAGGTGGAAAGTGGGACAGGGGGATTTGGATCCAAATGAGGGACAATTGGGAGGTATGGAATAACCGTTGGACTCCAATGGGAACTGGGGAGCCTGCATTGTGCTCAGATGGTCTTGCCTTCATGTCGCATTGACCTTCGACCAACAGTATGCCAACTGGCCAGGTGCATCAAATCCTTCTCCTTCCTACAAGTCTGACAGCTTCTCCAAACACACGTTCAGTATGTCACAGCATCTAGAACTTTTTGTGTTGCTTAAAGAAACCAATCAGATTGTGTCTTTCAGTTTCCCACTGCTGGGAAGACGATGAATAGAAGAAGAGCAGGTTTTTATCACCATATTTACCTAAAGAAGGCTTTCAACACTTTAGGCTCAATGTCTAAAAAACAAACAATGTTGGCCCACAGAAACCAATTAGACTGAAACCTGCAGTGAGCATTAAAGCTGGAGAACGTCAACTTGGGATTGGTTGCAATGGGGCAATAAGTTCATACTTGTACACATTGAAAAGGGGACTACCTAAGATTCTTATGAGGAGATGGGTACATCATATGATAGGAGTAGAATGAGAATAACCATGGGGCCCACTTTAATCCTTCCATATTCCAGCACCCCATATACAAAAGTCCTAATACAGGATGGGGTCAGATGTCTGAAGAGTCCAGTAAGAATATTATACCAAATACCCAAAGAAAGTCACTTTTATACATTCAAACCCTGACTGCCTACTAAGGTCTTCCCCAAAACCTTGTGTTTTCACATTAGGAGATACTGTAGGTACACACGTTTATAAACCTGTCGTGATCGGAAGATGCAACATTCCCAAACTTTTCAGTTCCAGCAATGATATACCTCAAACCTCATAGAAACTCAAAAACATCTTTTGTAGCGGCCATGTCTGGATGTATCGCATATGGGCAAATTTATTTACCTATTTCACATTAGTAGAGGTGTATATGCCTATATCTTAAGTCTTTAGGTCCTTTGGGATTTAGGGGCCCATTTATATTAGGTGAGGAAGACCAGACAGGTGCTCTATTACATAGACATCGACATGGCTCATTTCTATCTACCAGTCAATGTACACAGTGAACAAGTGATTTTACATGGCCAGTGGTCAAATAGAGGGCCTACATAATGGTCTTCTACACAAGCCCTTAGGTGTCCACCACTGCAAATACAATATATTATTTCTATGCTTTGATCCTACCATAAGACACATATATACTTACGTATATCACTCTTATTACTCCTGTGTATTGAGCCTACATTATGTCACATAAACACCATGAACTGTTCATCACCAGCTGGTTATTACTTGGCATGCAATCAACAGGAAATCATACGGCTTACAGTACATGTATATACTAAATGTGTATGGTTTGGTGTTCTGTACAGGCTGGAAGATACATGTGAGATTAGATAGATAGATAGATAGATAGATAGATAGATAGATAGATAGATAGATAGATAGATACTATTATAAGGATACAGTGATACATAGAGGATACAATTTATACAATATAAGCATATAGTAATAGATAGATTGATATTGATAAATAGAAGATACAATGTTTGTATATATTGTGTGGACACGGTAATAGAGATATAGATAGATATATGATACAATGTGTATATTTTAGGGACACAGTATAATAGATAATGCCGTGTTTTTATATTCTAGGGATATAGTAAAATATAGATAGATATTGATAGCAGATACAATGTTTCTATATTCTGGGGATACAATAATAGATATATAGATAGATATTGATAGATGATACAATGTTTCTATATTCTGGGGGTACATTGATAGATATATAGATAGATATTGATAGATGATACAATGTATATATTCTGGGAATACAGTGATAGAGATAGATAGATAGATAGATAGATAGATAGATAGATAGATAGATATGATACAATGTTTCTATATTCTAGGGATACAGTGATAGAAGATACAATGTTTCTATATTCTGTGGATACAGTAATAGATATATATTGATAGAAAATACAATGTTTCTATATTTCATGGATACAGTAATAGATATATAGATAGATATAGAAGACACAATGTTTGTATATATTGTGTGGGCACAGTCAGTGCCAGGCTGGCCGGGTACTCACACAAAGGCATGGTAGAGCAGTGCCCACCCTCGGGGTCTCTCCAGGGCATCGTAGATTAAAGTTTGGGACCTCCTGTACTTGGCATTGTTCCTCTTGATGGGTCGGCTGTAGTTCAGGGGGGTTTTGGCCAGCAGTCCGATGCTTTGGGTGTTTCGTTTGATTTCCTCCTTGCCGGCTCCCACCAGTAGCAGAGTGCCATCCTTGTCCAGGCCGGTCCCCAGGGAGCTGGGCTCCAGATCTTCGGCCCCTAGCGCTGCCTTCTTCTCCCCCTGGCCATCCTTAGACTGGCCCTCGGAGTGCTTGCTCTTCAGCCCCATCTTCCTCTGCGCTGAGGGGAAGCCTGGAAGAGCCCAATGCCATGATCCGCCCCGACAGCCCGACAGTTACATGATCCCCCTGCAGCATCAGCATCCGAAGACGATGAGCGCAGCCTCCTCACTGCCTCCCGATGGGTCCCCCGATCTCACGTTAGGGAGTGGCCCATTCTAGGTCTCCAGCAGCAGGCAGGCTCACCATCACCTCCCAGACAGGCTCTCATTTGCATATTTTTGTTGATGCTGCCATGCAAAGGGCTGTCAGAGGTTCAGATGCTGCTGTGCATGACAATGATGGAGCTGCCTGTGACTGGGGGATCCATGCACATCAATGGCTGATGCCTCTTCTCTCACCACCCCCTGCAGACCCCCTTCCTTGGGTCCCCCCTTCTGTTTACAGAGATGATGGCGTCCTTATAGGCAGGCAGCAGTGAGAGGCGTCCATCCCGTGCTGTCAATCACACCTTGATGGAATGGCCCGCTGCTGGCTGTGTGCTGCTGGCTGAGATTGGGAGAGTCCCTAGGATCCGGAGAGATGGAGGAGGAGGGGGCAGAGGAGGGGCCCCGGGTGAGACACATCATTAGAATCGCATTCAGCTGCTTTCTACAGACACAAGTGATTCAGTGATGGAGGCAAGCAGGGACTGCAGGCTGAGCTGCAGACCTGGGAAGCATCACCTATATGAGGACTGCAGATTGCTGCTGGTTTAGGAATAATTATGTGGAGTGCAGGGGTTAATACAGTGCCATGCATGCTCCAGCAAAGGGTTAACTGCTTGTAGTAAATAGGGCTGCTGATTGCTGTTGGGTAAGACAGGACCATCCTGACTGGAGGGGTTAATACTTAATACTTGGCTTGAAGTAAATAGGGCTGCGGGTTGCTGTTGGTTTAAATAGGACTTTTCCAAAAGCACTGCATTCATCAAAGGGTTAACTGCAGCTGTTGGTTTATGCATGTCCTTCCTGACAGTGAGTTAATACAGTGCAATCCAGCAAAGGTTACCTGATTATAGTAAATAGGACTGCAGACTGATGTTGGTTTAGGCAAGACCATCCTGACTGTAGGGGTTAATACAGCATGTTCCACCAAAAGGTTAACTAGTTGCAGCTGTTGGTTTAGGATGGACCATCCTGGCAGCATGGGTTAATACAGTGCAATGCATGTTCCAACAATGGGTTAACTGCTTGTAGTACTTAGGCCTGCAGATTGCTGTTGGTTTAGGAAGAACCATCCTGACTGTAGGGGTTAATCCAGTGCACTGCATGTTCCAGCAAAGGGCTAACTGCTTGTAGTAAATAGGGCTGTGAAATGGATTGCTCTTGGTTTAGACAGGACCATTCCGACAGCACTGCATGCTTCATCAATGGGTTAACTGCTTGCAGCTGTTGGTTTATGCAGGACCTTCGTGGCAGCATGGGTTAACACAGTGCAATGCATGCTCCAGGAAAGGGTTAACTGCTTGAAATATTTAGGACTGTTGGTTTAGGCAAGACCATCCTGACTGCAGGGGTTAATACACTGCAATCCATGCTCCAGCAAAGGGTTAACTGCTTCTAGTAATTAGGACTGGAGACTGCTGTTGGTTAAGGGCTTGTTCACACCATGTCCGGATCATGTCTAGAACAGAACAGTTTGTTCCTGGACCTAAAAAGCATTCCAATGTATCCCTATGTTATTTCTGGGCTTTGTTCACACCAGCGCAGTCCGTTCCCGGACCAGACAAAAAAATACTGCTTGTCTCATTTTCTCTGGTCTGGAATGCACTGGAACATATGAAAACGCGTGTGGACGCACTGGACCGTAGCTGAAAGCCCATTTTAAGCTAAAAAATAGACGTGCATTCAGATTCGGACGAACCTGCAAAGCAACGAAATTCAGTTGATACGGCGGTTCGTCCGAATCCGAAATAACAAATTTATTATATGCCCGATTATACGAAAACTATATTCGGGCATACATAAATTAATTGGCAGAACGAGCGGCAGCCATATTGGCCGCCGGGGGGGTTCTGTGCAGGCGCGCTGCCATACGGGCGCCACCATCTTGGTGTATACCGAGATACACTCAAATATGGCGGTGCGCAGAATGTGATTTCGGATTCAGAGACTCGTTGCCTCCGAAGCAGCATAAAAATGTGTTTTCTTTGGTGAAACGAATGGAAATGTTTTTCGTTTTCATGTGTTTCGTCAGAAAACACTTTTTTTTTTTTTGCCGTGCACATGTCTACTAAAAGAAAAAAAATGCTCCAGGACGTGGTAAGATCCTGCCATCCTTTTATATAGAATCTTCATGCTTATCATGTGACCCAGCAGACACTCCCACTGCAAGCCTGCTATCAACATTTAGCTGTCTAGAAAAAAAAAATCTTTCATGAGATTCATTACTAGGTGAACCAAAACTAGGAAAACAAATTGTGTGACTTTTGACAGTTTATGTAAGTGAACAGAGGGGTGAATCTTATATATAATGGGATGCATTTATAAACAGCACACTTGTCCTGTGGGGATAGATGCAAAAACACATTTTATTAGGACATTTCTTTTCAGATCACATGTCATTTTAGGTAAATACTAGGGATGCACCGATACTGCATCGGTGCCAATACCAAGTATTTGGGCGAGTAGTCGTACCCGCTCATATGCTCCGATACCTTCCCCGATACTGGACTGCCGTAGGGGAACATGGAGCCAGCTTCCTGTGCGATTAGGAAGCAGAAATGCGAGTAATGACCCGCCTCCCAGCTTCCTGATTGGACGGGAAGCTGGTTCGATGCTCATTGGCTGGGAAGCCGGTTTCCTGGCCAAACAACATGGAGCAGGCTTCCTGGGCAATCAGGAAGCCGGGTGGTATGTCATTACCCACCGCCCAGCTTCCTGATTGCCCGGGAAGCCTGCTCCATGCCAGCGGAGGCATTGGTATCTGTACTAGGTATCGGCGAGTACCGAAAGCAAAGTATCGGTAGTCATATTCAATACTGAAAAACCAGTATCGGTGCATCCCTAGTAAATACCACATTATGGCCACTTGATGGCACTAGTGAGCATAGAAAATAAATGCTTCTTTCTTATGGTCATCAGCTCTATCTAGTGGCCATAGCATGGTATTTGCCTGAAATGACATTCGTCTTGGAAAGAAAATAAGCTGATCTTTGCCTCCATTTGCACATAATGAATGTACATGCAATTTAGCAGGATGGCTCAGCGAATTGTTTATATATACACCTCAATGTGTTTTTAGAACTAGAATAGATCACCAGATTTCATAGCATTTGGACTCCCATTTGTTTACCACTTTAGTTCAACTCTGGGTTTGAGATCACACCACGCATAAAAAATTACTGCGCTGGATGCCAGAGTGAATTCTAATCAATTGTCCGGCTATCAGATGTAGCTGACAATCATTTTATTATGTAACAAATAGTCTGCGATCAGCTGAGATTGGATTTACTATGGTGTACATCCACAGACGAAATGTATCTGGTTTCCATTAGTCATCTTTCTGAGTTCCCAGAAGATGGAATACTACAATCCTAGATTGTGTCTGTTTACTTTGTGTGGTATTAATAATAGTGATACTACGATATAACATTCTTTCTGTTTTTGTATGCAGTGGTTTTTTATTGGTCAGATGTAGCTGACAATCATTTTATGTAACAAATTGTCTGCGATCAGCTGAGATTGGATTTTCTATGGTGCACATCCACAGACAGAACGCAGCCAGTTTCTATTAGTCACAAACTGTCAGTATGTATTGTTTTTTCGGGTGCCCAGAATGGGCGATACAACATTCCTCCTGAATGGAATGTCTGAGATCTTTGAGAACATTATGTCACTATTTTATTCTTTAAAAGAACATAGGATGGTACATGGGCACCTGCAAATGCAGTGAGGATATATACTATATATCAGTGGTTCCCAACTTTTCTAGGACCGGGACCCCTTGGTAACATTTGCCAAGTTGTGGTGACCCCCAGCAGAGCACTGGACTTAGTATCGCTCTGGACTTAGTAACGCACTGGACTCTGGGCTTGGTAATGCACTGGACTCTGGACTTAGTAACGCTCTGGACTTAGTAACGCACTGGACTCAGGACTTAGTAATGCACTGGACTCAGGACTTAGTAAGTGCACCCTCCTCAGAGTCCTTTAGAAAGCCAATTAGCACACCTCCTCAGACTCTGTTGGAGAGCCGGCGAGTGCACCCTCCTCAGACTCTGTTGGAGAGTCGGCGAGTGCACCCTCCTCAGACTCTGTTGGAGAGCCGGCGAGTGCACCCTCCTCAGACTCTGTTGGAGAGCCGGCGAGTGCACCCTCCTCAGACTCTGTTGGAGAGCCGGTGAGTGCACCCTCCTCAGACTCTGTTGGAGAGCCGGTGAGTGCACCCTCCTCAGACTCTGTTGGAGAGCCGGTGAGTGCACCCTCCTCAGACTCTGTTGGAGAGCCGGCGAGTACACCCATACCAATAGGAGTGGTGCCAAAGAACTGAATGCTGACATTGCAGTAGCCATAGTGGCTGTTGCTGATACCAAGAGGAATTTGGCATTTTGCCAAAAGTGCCATTTTCAGCCAATATGCTTCAGCGGCCAAAATTTCGGTGCATCCCTAATTATAACCCTCCCTTGTTCTGTCCAAAACTGAAGAAAAAGTGTTGCCTTAGTTCTAATGTAATACTTCCTCGTGTGTGATTTATGTGCCTTTCTAGATTATATTTTGGCATCCTTATTATAATATTTAATGTGAAGACACAACAACTTTTTAAAATAGAAACTACAAAACTAGAAGTGAGGGGAAATATTTTTGGCAGGAGGCTTTACATGTCTCTTCTGCCAAAAACAATAACGCCTAGTAGTTTTATTATAGCAGGACTTAACATCTTCTGTAAAGAGACCCTGTCACCAGACCATTTATTTCCCCATAAGATCATATGTGCACTGAACATATCTTATGCATGTTATTTACCTGTAAAAGACTCCCTTGTGTAGACTTTCCAAATTTCTGAGGCTGCCACTGGGTGCCGCCATTTTGGATGTGAAGTCAGCAGCCCCAGCAATCTCAGAGCTGTCACTCAAGTGACGGGGACGGTAAGATCAGCTCAATGGAAGGTGGCGAAAAGGTAGTGAGAAAGTGGGTTGAATGAGGCTGGCCATCAGACTGAGGGCATCTGTTGGCAGAAAAAAGTACTGCAGGGGGGAATCTCTGGAATGAAGGTGTATATTGCAGCAAAAGCTGGTTGCGTTTTTTATCTTTTAATAGGCTATTCATTTTTATCTTGTTATTTTTGGTTGGAGTTCTGCTTTAATGGTTTTGTACTGAGCCCTGCTCACACGTAGTTGGAGTTGTGGTGATGGCT